GGGATTCAAGGAGCAGGCACTGCAGGTCTCCACCGATCCGGACCACAAATTCGACTTGGCTCTGCAAATTGGCGAACTAGAGATTGCCCTAAAGCTAGCGCGCGAGGCAGAAAACTCACAGAAGTGGTCGCAGCTAGCCGACGTGGCCTCGCGCCGGAATAACATGGCCTTGGTAAAGGAGTGCATGCAGAAGGCCAACGACTTTAGTGGCTTGCTGCTGCTCTCGACTGCCTCGGGCGATGCACAGATGCTGGAGGAGGTGGGCGCAACCAGCTCGGCACAAGGCCGCCATAATATTGCATTCCTTTCCGCCTTCCTTCGCTCAGATGTGGAGCGTTGCCTGGAGATTCTCATTGAGACCAATCGCCTACCCGAGGCGGCGTTCTTCGCACGCACCTACTTGCCCAGCCAAATGTCGCGTGTGGTCGAACTCTGGCGCGAGGAGCTGGGCAAGGTGAACGAGAAGGCAGGCCAGTCGCTGGCCGATCCCACGCAGTATACAAATCTCTTTCCGGGCCTGGGCGATGCGCTGCGCGTTGAGCAATTTCTGGCCGAGGAGCGAGCACGCAAAGCGCCAGCCCGTCTAGCTGCACAGTTGCCATTAAATAGCGAGCGCAATCCACTTGAAGAGCTGAATGCGGCAGAGCAGCAAAGCGGCGGCTTGCAACTGGAGAAGGAGAAGCCGCCGTTTGTGCCTGCATCCTTGCCAGCAACAACAGCAGCAGCAGCCAGCACAAAAGCTACCRCTGCTTCAGGCAAAGCTGCTGTCGGCGATGATGAGGACGATGATGATGATTTGGATCTGGAGATTGATGGCATTACGTTGGACGACAATATAGATACGACAGATGTAAATCTGGATGATGATTTTCTGAGCGATGATTAGATGCGAGAGCTGTATTTGATAATATGCATTAGAAGTATCGAAAAATTATTGTGTTGATTCAGCAAAACGCTCCAAATATTGCAGAATCAATCACTATAAATTCCACACTTACACCAACACACACACACACATATACAACGCATGCATTCACTTTTGATTTGATTGAACGAATGTTTACCGTGCATTAATTATACAAATTAAATATATATATATATATATGTATAATGTAAAACAATTATGTAGCAACCATTTGAGATAATAATAATAAAAAACCAAATGAAAATTTGAAAATTTGAAATGACGCGCCGGTTTCCCCTATCTTTTGACATTTGGAATTAGGGGTGAACAGCGTTGCCACAGGCCAAGCTGTCAATTTCAATAAATACGGCAACTCAACAGCATCACAAATACATATATACGTAGACATCGTGTGTGCGTCTGGATTTTGCTGTATTTTTTATTTAAGAATGAATTATTAATAAACAATTAATAAATTATTATTAAATAAAAAACAGCACAAAACCATCAACAAACCGTAAGTAGTGGCTCCAGTGAAATTCATGATTGGTTCCGCCAGATGCGGTTTAATTTATTTCGAACATATTGATTTTTTCCAAGCAACGTTGCAATTACTTGCAGATACACAAAGTCTATTAATCACGTTAAATATGGAACCAAACAACTACCATGCCCACGAACACCTCCACCACCACCAGCAGCAGCAGCAACAGCAACAACAGCAACATCAACAACAGCAACAGCATCAACACCAGCAACAGCAGCATCAGCAGCAATTGTACGAACAGCAGATGCATTTGCAACAACTCCATCAGCATCAGCAGCTACAGCAGGAGCAACAACAGCAGCAGATGCCCATGCAAGCGGGCTTTGCGCCGCGTCGTCAATATGACAACATGGGTAACTCGCCTGCTGCCATTGCAGCTGCCTGTTTGTCCAATGGGGCTGCTGGCGGTGGCAGCAATTCGATGGGCAAGCCGGCGGCAATGCAACAGCGTCCGAAAATGAAAAAGGAGAAACAGCTGCAGGTGCTGCATCAGCATCAGCAACAGCAACATCTGTCGGAGCTGAGCGGCACTAGCAGCACCGGTATGCTGCCGACTGAGGAGACGCTGAAGTTTGTTAACGACACGGATGCCAATGGGCTGGCCATGAAGACGCCCGTTAGCATACTGCAGGAGTTGCTAAGTCGGCGCGGCATCACGCCGGGCTACGAGCTGGTCCAGATCGAGGGGGCCATCCACGAGCCAACGTTTCGGTTTCGGGTCTCGTTTAAGGACAAGGACACACCCTTCACAGCCATGGGCGCCGGGCGCTCCAAGAAGGAAGCCAAGCACGCAGCCGCTCGCGCCCTGATTGATAAGCTCATCGGCGTACAGCTCGAGACACAGGGCAATTCAGCAGCCGCAGCAGCAGCCGCTGTTAGTTGCTCTATGGCGGGCAGTGGGGGCGATGGCAATGCCAATCTCTCTGGCAGTGGCGAGTAATTATTTGTTGCAAAATTTGTCAATTTAAATAGTTTTTAATATGCAATTTTCGTTTCTTTGTCATTTTTGGTTTTTCTGTTTCTCATTGCTCGCCCACCCCATCTCTCTCTCTCTCTCCCACTCTATCTATCTGCCTACCCATCTCTATAATAGTGGCGGCGACAAGATTGTGGGTAATCCCATTGGCTGGCTGCAGGAGATGTGCATGCAGCGTCGCTGGCCGCCGCCATCGTATGAGACGGAGACAGAGGTCGGCCTGCCTCACGAGCGACTATTCACGATCGCTTGCACCATACTAAACTACCATGAGGTTGGCAAGGGCAAGAGCAAGAAGATAGCGAAGCGCCTGGCCGCCCACAAGATGTGGACGCGCCTGCAGGAGACGCCCATCGATGCGGCCCAGATCAATGACAGCCTCTGCGGCGAACTGGAGGGCGATGTGAGTAATTTATCGCTTGTAGATCCAACAGAGCAGCCGCAGCAGTCGCAGCTGCCGCCGGTAGACCAGGCAACAAGTGTAGAGCCGAGTCGCTTCTACAAGCGCATCTCACCGGTTTTAAATATAACAGATATTTAGAGCTAATCCCTTTCCGACTGTACTCTCAACAAACTAACTGTATTTCCTGCTATCTGCCGTCTGACAAACCCTAATCTGTTTGCTGAGCTTTAACATTTTTTACTTTGGTTTTTGAATCGTTGTGTTCCGGTGCTTGCTTAAATTGTTAATGTTTGTTACTGTTAAAGTGAACCGGAAACTCTGCAATTAACTCGGCAATTTGTCGATTAGCCAATTAACTTGGGATTATACAATATTATTTAGTTAAGCTGACACATATGTGATTTTATTGTTTGCAAAATTTACTTTAAATTATTCTATTGTCCATAGAGGACTCCAAGTCCGATCTATTATTGGCTGATTTAACAAATAAGTTTTGTATTTTTGTAAAATGCTTTTTTCCCCGATATACGTACATATATATTGTCTCAGTTGAGCTCAAACTAATTTTGGCATGCACTTTTATTTTAATGTTATAGACAAACAGTTGTTTGTTTGTCTGTTTGTTTGTTGTTTGGTCTCTGCGCACACTTTTAATCGATTGTCTACCAATTTAGACACATTTGTGATATGTTTGAAGTCCGACTTGAGTGATATATTTCAAGTCACCATTGGCGAGAGTCTGTGCGTAATTAAATGGAAATGTTGCGCTCTTATTTCCAGGCCCGCATTAACGATCATTTTTATGGTGATTTGAAAGATATCACTGTGCCGACACTGACCACGCTGCACAGCAATAAAGTGTCCCAGTTCCATAAGACATTGAAAAATGCGACGGGCAAAAAACTGCTTAAATTACAGGTAAATCAATGAGTGGCCCAGATCATACGACACACGACACACGCGCCGCTTCAATGGAAGTCGAGCTCCCACAATGCATTTACCTCGATCATAAATACGATTCTATTTTGTTTATTTTTGGTTTGTTGTTTCATTTTGTTATTTTTTTGCTTGCAGAAGACTTGCCTGAAGAGCTCAAAGATTGACTACATCAAGCTGCTTTCAGATATTGCTGCCGAGAATCAGTTCGAGGTCACCTATGTGGATATTGAGGAGAGGACTTTTAGCAGCCAGTTTCAGTGCCTGGTGCAGTTGTCCACGTTGCCAGTCGGCGTCTGCCATGGCACTGGGTCAACGGCTTCGGAGGCACAGCGACATGCCGCTCAGAATGCCCTGGAATACCTTAAGATAATGACCAAAAAGTAGGCAACAGTAACTGAAATAGCAAAATCTGAACGCACATAACGACAGACGATGATAATGATGATGATGATGATGATGATGATGATGATGATGATGGTGATCATGAAAATTGCATATGTCCTTAGAGTCCCGATCCCGAACACGTCCCCCTATTTTCTGTTAACCATGGTTTAAGGCAACTAGAACATTCAACATTGTATTTAATATTTATTGGTATTGATTGTTTTGAGCTTAGTTCCGATGTGAGTTTATAGCTAATCTGTACTATTCGCAAATCGTAGATATTAAATACCTTGATACGAATATCCACAAGCAACTTGTCGCATTCTCGCCGATTTATATGCGATCAGACCTAACGCTAAGATCAATAAAGTAAGGCAAACACATATTCGCAACTGTTTTTCAGGGAATGTTAATGATGTACCCACTAGCTTACCTATCAATAATGTTGCGATCCTATTTTTAAACGATCAATGACTAATTGATTTACATGAAGATAAAAATGTATATTAGGCTTTTATATATAATTGAGAACTAATTGTGAAATGTTACTTTATGGACATTTAAAGTATAATTAATTTAATAACCATTGTACAAATTAAATCGAAACGTGGAGAGGCGCCAATGAAAAACTTAAACTGTAATAAAAGATGATTCAATAAACTGATAACACAAGCCAGCTGCACGCGTTGAAATGTGCAGCAATAATCACAGTTGGCATTTTATATGAAATTGAAAGTTATTTATTTAAAGTACACAATACTTAAGCTAAACTATTTACTAATTGGCCGTATATGTATATTATTTACATAGTAGCTGCTGCTGCTGCCGCTTCTGCTGCTGCTGCTGGTGCTGCCGTTAACGTTGTCTATTTCTTCTTACGGTCCTGCGTGCACTTGGGACAAAACCATTTGCCCTTCGGCTTCGTGGTAAGACCGACACAGGCAAAGTGGAACCATTCAATGGGACACTGAGAAGAATGATAAATGAATCAAAATTAAAGAATGTTGCAGTCAATTGAATCTGTCATTCACTCACATCTGGATTATCGCAGCCAATCATCTCGCCATAGGATACTTGGTGGCACAGACAATATGTTGGCTCATTGGGATCCACGGGCATGTCCATGACGTCGCTGGGATGCGTGGCGGCCGTGTGGCAAGAATCTTTTTCCGAGTCATCCACATCCACGACTTTCTGTAGGTTGTGGGGAAAATTGAGACGAGTATTAGCAAAGGCTTGTCAAGAGATTGGGCTAGCAAGTGATCATGCAAGGAGGTGAAATGTAAATGAAAGATGCAAAACTAAGCGGTAAATAAAGAAATACACTTTACAGGGATATTGGACGGGGTCAATCCAGTGTCTTTTAACTGTGTAGTTTACCAGGCAAAATAATAACAACAACTAAATAGTTTTGAGGAAAGAGTAACAAACGTAAGGAGACAAAAATGTGCATAATGTTGATGAAGGATGATTTACCTTTTGTGCTGCCCCCTTGCGGGTTTCTTTTTCTTGATTTACCTTGGACTTTTTCTTTTTGCTACCTTGACCAGCACTGCTGCTAGCATTTAGATTAGCCCCGCTGCCGCTGTTCGATTGATTGCCACGCCCAGTTTCCTCATCCGAGGAGGCTGGCCGTTTCTTTTTACCCGTCGCCTTGCCATCTTTGGTCTTCTTACGACCAGCCTCTGAAAATCCCAAATGAATTACCAGATCAAAAAAACACTTTTAAGCGGATTACGTACTCTTGGCAACCACTTCTTCGGATTTGGCGCGTGTTGAGGAGGCCTTCTCTTGGATCTCTCCTTCAAAGCGGGCCAAGTCGTTGTCAAGTCTTCGGATTTGTTTGTCCACCAGCTCATAGGTTTGTATGGCTAGCTGCACTTTATCATCGCTGTATTCCTTGGCTTTGCCAAACAGTGCCTTAATGTCCTCCAGACGCTCCTTTCGCTCCTCCTCGCTCATTGGCCCGTTCTCGGCGGATAGCTTGCGCATGAAGTCTTTCGCATGGCTATCGATGCTCTTCATAGCCGTTTGCGCTCGATCGTCCAATTTTCTCATCAACTTGAAGTTCCGTTCTAGCTCGGTGGGCAGCGATTCCAAGCCTGATGGTAAACATGATTTACATCTGCCACAGTACTCTTATTTTATTTCACATTTTTTACATACCGTCTAAATAGTTTTCTAAATATATAGCTGACGACATTTTTGATGTTTCTAGTGTGCAATTTGTATTGTTTTTTCGTCAGTTTCAGTTTACTAACAAAAGTCAAGCGTCTTTTTATGATGAGCCATCAGCTGTTTTGCAAGTGGACGATTCGATTCTTATCGATACAATCGAAAACTATCGCAACCTCATCTAATACAAAACAAAAACATTTGGTAATTATTGCCGGGACACAGAGCATTGGATTTTAAGAGGTTAAAACAAATTAGTAAACAAGCAACCATAATCTACATAATCTTGTATCAATTTTGGTACATTTCTTACCACTTAAGTGTACCAACGCACCAAACGATAGCTGCTCACATCATATATTTAGACGTTACACATCACTGGGAAGACAGCTGTTTTTTTTCGCTGATCAACATTGTAGTCAGCAGCTTATCAAGAAAAAGACACAAAATGCAACAGAAACACCCTAAACTAGGATAAACTATTCGCAGAGAATGTGCTGTAGCGCTCTAATACATTGAAGAACACGTTAGCTTAAGCCGGCAGCACCATGTATAAGAAATTCCGGAAAATATTGCCTGCGATGCGCCCAGTGCACTGGCTCGTACTGTCCTGCATCGCAGTCGTCACCTGTTATTTTCTGCTGGAGATTCGATTGGATCGTGGTGCGTTTTTCAATTACGTTCCACTTTATTTAGCTAAAACACAATATTTATTTACACTCAGCTTTTAAGCCACTGTCTAAACTCACGGGCAACAGTGGCAAGCAATCAGTGGCGGACCAAGCAGCTCTCAGTCGATCTATTCCCACGTTCGATGGCTATGATTATGAGGAGCAATTGGTGGTGCTATACAATCGTGTGCCAAAGACTGGCTCAACCAGTTTCGTGAACATAGCCTACGACCTGTGCAAACAGAACAGATACCATGTCCTGCATATAAATGTGACCGCAAACATGCATGTCCTATCGCTGCCGAATCAGGTGCGTCGACAACATTCCGTCATGGAAAGCCGGACAGCTGGTTAATTGTTTCATTGCTTTATTAGATATCCTTTGTGCGAAATGTAACCAAGTGGCATGTAATGAAGCCGGCTCTGTACCACGGTCACATGGCATTTCTAGACTTCTCCAAGTAGGTTTTTCGAAAATGATTTATCACTATATCTCCGATTATAAATCTATATATTTTGCAGATTTCAAATAGCACATAAACCCATCTATATAAACCTGGTGCGCAAGCCACTTGACAGACTTGTGTCCTATTACTATTTTTTGCGCTATGGCGACAATTATCGCCCAAATCTCGTGCGTAAGAAGGCAGGCAATAAAATTGTGAGTTAAAAAAATTATATATATATTTATATTTCACTCTATGTAAATATCAACATTTTTAATGCAGACGTTCGATGAGTGCGTGGTTCAAAAACAACCCGACTGTGATCCCAAAAATATGTGGCTGCAAATTCCATTCTTTTGTGGCCACGCTGCTGAGTGCTGGGAACCCGGCAGCGATTGGGCCTTGAAGCAGGCCAAACACAATTTGGTCAACGAATATTTTCTAGTCGGTGTCACCGAGCAAATGTACGAGTTTGTAGATCTGCTTGAGAGATCGCTGCCAAGGTAAATAGCAATTGCTTTGCCATATTTATCAAATTCACTTGAACTAAATCTTTTGTTTAAATACAGAATCTTCCAAGGCTTCCGTGAGCACTATCAAAACTCAAATAAATCTCACTTACGGGTGACATCATCGAAATTACCGCCCAATGAATCTACCATACAGGCCATACAGAGATCGAAGATTTGGCAAATGGAAAACGAATTATACGAGTTTGCGCTGGCACAGTTCGAATTCACCAAGAAGAAGCTGATGCAGCCCGATAACAAGCATCTGCAGCAGTTTATGTACGAAAAAATACGACCAAAATGATTGTCCTGGAGGGTCAAGGGCAGCAGGGGCAAACACCGAACCAAACTGGACAAGTTACTGCCGAAGTAAAGGCTTTAGTATTGCAGGTTAAAACAGTTTATTTCTGTTTATATTATTAATGTAATTTTTAAAATATGTATATAGCTTTTCTAGATCTGATCTGTACTTAAAAGCAAACAAATTCGTGAAAGACACTAAGACTTTTTAGCATTGAATATCATTGACATATTGATTTATCTTTTATATTATCGCGTATATAGTTAGTATAAGTCAGTCATTAACATTAACACTCGATAACGCTTTCTTAGAGTTACGTAAGCAATATTTAGCAACAATTGTAACAAATTTTTAAAGCACAATATTATTTAAATTGTACTCCAATATTCATACATATTGATATACATATATAGGTATATATTTACGTATTGACAATACCAGATCTTGAACGAAACTACCAATTAGATACTTAGAGATAATATAACGTGTAAGTGTAATGATATTATTGAACTCTCGAAATGTATGTATATCAGCTCATAGCACTTGAAACTGAGAAACTCATCATCAAGTCAAATACATGTAAATCCATGTTATTCATATCAAGTTTTTATAACAAGTGTCTCCATCAACGATTGTCTCTAAGTGATTAGTGGCATGCAACGGGCAAATTGATTAAACCCGTCGATTAACCATCAGGTATAGCCACACTACGTACGAATACGATAAATATCAATATAGACACGCACGCAAATAGCTATAAGTATTGGTTTTCTGTGTCTCGCATTTTGTTCCAAGTCAATTTCGCTTAAAGTTGCAAAGCCGCTAAATTCGATCGGCAATAGTCGGTGCGAAATTCCATTGAACTTTATAAGCTGACGTAGCCGAGCATTAGCATTGACTAAGTTGACTAGAAGACTGCCTGCCTGCCTTGTCTGTGTGTCTGTCTATCTGTCTGTTTGCCGGACTGACGCAGAGGCACTTTGGTTGGAGAGCAGAAAGCGAAATTGAAATGGAATTATATTTCAGGCACTATACTTAATTAATTGGCTGAGCCTGAACGTACGACCAATGAGTTTGCATTATCACCAGTTGTAGGATTGAACGTCGACACGCAAAGTCGTCGTCGATGAATTTTGTGGCTTTTCGTATTTTATTTTCAAGTTATTAACTATGAAGTAGGGCATTAAAACTTAAAAGTAGCCAATACAAAGTGCGACTAATTAGTGCATATCGGGCGCATGACAGCTGTTTTGTGAGATTTACAAAGTGTCTCAATTACGTATACATATAATTCTATATACTATATGTATGTATGTATGTTACTTACAGACCGGCACTAAGATTGTTATTTAGAGGGCACAAGTTCAACCATATTTAAGTCTAACGACAACGCTAGGGTACAATTCTCAGGTACCTGGTGTGTATAACTAAACGCATACATATAACAATTAATATAAAACTTTTTTATACTGAGCTAAAGTATTAGCAAACATATAACAGTTCTTAGATGCTTGTTGTGTACACAAATTTAAACAAGCCTAATTGCACTGAGCGAAAGTAATGCAATACACATATGCTTGTTATATATCAATTCTTAGATGCTAACGGTGTATAACAATACGCTTAACAATTTAAAAATTGTCTGATCTAAACATATAACAGTTCATAGACGCTTGTTTTATGCGTGTATATAACACTTTCAAAAAAAGCCGAAATAACTACATATGTATGTATCTATGTAATATGTACATGTGCATGTGTGTATACATATTAATGTGCTTGAAATTAACCTTAACCCTGGCGCAGTGTTCTTTGCATTTCTCCATTGTGTATTGCCAACTACAATGAAAGCAACAACAACAAAGCGCATTTCAAAGTAACCAACTGTATAACAGCCAACGAAGCATGCACTTTCCAACTTGCTGACAGTTGCCATAATTAATCGCTTGCTGTGTTAGTTTCATTTGTTTTTGTAAGCGTGTGTGTGTATGTATGTTTATTATTATATATAGTTATCTACACACACTTCTTAACTACCGGCTCGTTACACATATGGGGGTATAAAACTGTTGAATGAGCAGCTTTATATTTTCAGTGTTTAAGTGTATTAAGACAGAGATAGACCTAGCTTAGTCGGAGATACAAAGTCGAAAAAACTGCAGTACATCAGAGTGGAATAAGCAATCAAAGGATACCAAATCTTTCAACATTGGAATAACTACGCTATACGTCCATTAAACTAAGGTGAGTTTTTCATTTTGAAATACTGTTATTACTGTTACAGTTATTTGAGTCGTTGATGCGTACGCATTGTGTTTCATTATGTTTCGGATTCGTTACACTTTTCGCGCCCTATTTTAATTTTTCGTGTTTCTTTTGTGCTTGACCTTTGCCTAACGACGAGCGCAAATGCAAATACCAGAGCGCGAGCGAGAGAGCAACAAGTGCAGCTCCTACAGTACGTTGTCCAGCACTGTAAAGGTATGCTCGCTGTTCCTTTTGCATTTGCTTTCGAAACGGTTCTTCTTGTTGTTATTGGCATTGGCATCTGTAGGAGGGCTCTGTAATTGTGTCTCTGTGTGCGAAAATAAAACGAAACGAAACAAGTGAACGATGAACATGAAAAGTTCAATAAACGTTTGGCATTGACACACATCCAGTTCAACGGTGTGAAGCGGTTCCTGTTCAAGTGCAACGGCAAATGCATTTAACGCTGTTTGTGCTGCGTAATCAAACTGAAAATAATTTTATTAAATCAATATGGCAACTGCAACCAGCTGCCTGCCTAGGACAACAGTAGCCGGCGGCGCGTCTGCCGCTGTCGCTTCTGACGGTGTCTCTATTGAATCAGGTAAGGCGGCCGTACAAGCACAGACATGCATTTGTGTACACTTTTGTGTATGTGTGTGTCCACACGAACACAATTGTTCGCACGCTTTATTTTTTTGTAAACTTTTGTAATGCGTTTTTGGCACGTAAGGTTAAAGCACTTTTTAGGTTGGACTTGGGCTTGCCCTTGTCCATTTACCTAACTAAATGAATACAATTTTTAATTGTATTTTATTTTCGCCAAGACTTCTGACCTCAGACTGACTTGCTTGACATCTGCTATCTTAACGATCAGCAAGTTGATGGCCATGGATAGTTTTGCCCCTAACCCGTTTTGTTCTGAATTTAAAAAGTGGAATACTACATCTTTA